CCCCCCCCCCCCCCCCCCCCCCCCCCCCCCCCCCCCCCCCCCCCCCCCCCCCCCCCCCCCCCCCCCCCCCCCCCCCCCCCCCCCCCCCCCCCCCCCCACTTACCGCATCCCAGCATGCATAGTGTTTTGTCTGACATTGTCGCTTGCGAAAGTGTTGTTGCCTGCGGCTTGGGAAACGTTGTTTGTCGTAACTCTGTTGTACGGCTCCGGATTTTAATACCCTGACCTTTTCAAAAGAGCTTCAAACTCTTCAGCGTACTTGACTAGTGATATCTCTACTCTGCGCATTGGATCTGATGGCTTCGTTTGATGGTTTCGGGAAGGAAGCCGGCCCCCACTCTTTTCCGCGCAGTTGTCAGCGGGGAAAGCCACTACGGAGACCCACATGCGTGCCTACATCTATTCTGCATCCTAATGGACCCTTGACAAAAATAACACGCAGACACCGACAGTAGCCGCTTATTTACAACAAAGCAGTCGTTTTATTTGACTATGAATATGACTACGACACCTAGAACATGACGGATACTTCATGCGCATCCTGCGATCATGCATCGTACAAGCCCCGCTACTCTCATACAACTTGACCACTCTTCACTTCCTACGCGTAGCCTCGCAACCCTCTATCACGCCCAAAAGAACCTCCTCCTAACTTCTCTCTTCAACGCCGTAAACTCATCCTTAGTCCTTAACACGGCATCGCGATTCTCCACAGCCCTCCGAAGTAGATACCCCACACATTCGCCCATACTACCCCAAGTGGTGCATTTCAACACCTCAGGTGCCTTGCCACCCGCTCCCTTCTCTGCTAACAGGGAAAAGCTGACTTCATCTGACATGCCGTGAAGCTGTCCGTAAGCGACGGGAACAGTAGGTAGACCGGCTTCCGAGCGCTGTCGGTGGAGCTTGTGGGCCGAGAGCACGCTTTCGCGGTTGTGAGATGCGAGGAAGAGATTTACAGAAGGGAACCGGCGGGTAGATGATTCAGATGCCCCGAAGCTGCCTATTTGCTGACGAAGCGCACCCTGTGCTATCGTATTGTAGGCGTTATCTGTGTCTTCCTTGGTGTCATGGATCAGGGAGCGGTTGTCAGAGAGGATGTATGCACCACGCACGAGCTTGAGACCAAGAGTAAACCCGTCTCTTTCTGCCTCAGCCATATGTTGTGCGAGAATTGTGGGAGTGTCTTTGAGGTAGGCTTGGTACGTGTTGTAGATGACAGCTTTACCATTGCGGTTGAACTTGCGCATTAGTTCGAGTGTCGCGCGAGCGATGCCTGCTTGCCAGTGCTGAGACTCAGCGTCGATGATGATCTGGACATTGCGTGCTTTACATTGGGTCGCTATCTCATCTAGGGCGTCGAGCATTTGCTGGGGTGGAAGCTCGCCTTTGCTGAATGCTGATGAGACGGCTGGACCACCGCCTGTCGTTCTAGAAAATGTCAGTGCTACATTGAGTAAGTCATCGTAATTGAACGTACTTCAGAGCTAAGATGTCTCCCTCGGAGATGAGATCAAGTGTTCCTAGTGTGCCTTCCCTCCATGCCTCGACGTCTGCATCATGCGCCATACTGGTCTTTTCATCGACAAAGCTATCCGAGGTATGATGGTTTGCAGACTTGGTTTTGTGATCAAACACCATCTCCTTCGCATACGTCAAGATCACCCCTTTGAACCCCAAATCCTTCAGCTGCTTTACACAAGCTCGTGTCTCTTGTTGTGTTTCTCCGGCGCAAAACTGATTATATAGGGTTCTCTTCAAAACAGCCTTCAATACAGGGTTTCGATCTATATTGAACAACAGGCTTCGATTCGGTTTCGAGAAGAAGGAGAGCAGGTTGAGTGATGGTATCAGAAGGAACTTGTTAGACGATATTGTGGCAACGAAGAGCGAACGGAGCAACATGTGCGTCGGCATTGCTGATAGCGGGTATTGTGTGGGTGACGGTTTTGATATTTGTGTAGCCGAAGCCTTCATCCGTGGCAGTGCAGTTGTAGAGCTGAGACGTGTCTCGAACGTGTTGAAGCCATTGATGAGACATTTCCTGCTCGCTACTGCTCGCAGTGTTGATCTAGTAAGCCGTTGATGAAGCATGATGAATCCAATGTGAGGTGGCGAGACTAAGGAAGCCAGCCAAAGATGGAAGAGTGTTTCAAGAGGGACGATTGAAGCTGATATGTAGAGTGCTCCTACAACTCTACCTCTTCATCGCCTCCCTTATCTCAAACCGTAATCCTACCATATGATGCACGACCCCGCTCCACGTCTCGAACGTGGGGCATCGCCATGCTCGTGACTATCGCGTCCAGGTCCATAGCTCGGACGTGCAGCCGAATCGCGTGGAAAGTCCGGATGTGGTCGGCATTACCAATAGTATAATGCAAGAGGCGAAGTGATAAGCAGAACGAGACCAATGGTAATTATGACCGAACGCGACATCCCTCTGGAAGTAGGCCAATGCGGGGTTGATTGTCGATGCGGCTTGGATCGGGTTATGCATGACGATGTCGGCGTAATATAAGAGCGAAGCTACCTTTTGAGTATTACGTTTGTGAACACTCGTATACTCCGCCCGTATAGCGCAAGGAGGTATGAATCGTCTCGATACATGATCTCGTTGCAGCGTTGAGAAAACATGTCGGAACAAAGCGCACGTCTTCCACCTAGTTGGGAAACTACGTTGGCGAAGCGTCTTGACAGAAGAGGAACGAGGCTGATAAGTGCTCGATCATACTATGCATCCATGTAGCAACTTTCTTATCAAGCTTATCGTTGGCCGTATATGGTGTGCATAGAGCTTCCATATGTAGGACACAGCTTCGTTGCGATGAACAGCGGTCGCTGTCGGAATGAGTTCAAGAACTATGTCCCAGACGTACATGGCAAGAAAATCCTGTCTAAGAGTGCTCTTTTGACTACATTTCTGGCATGCGGTTAGAAGATAATATCCAATGTACGAAGAAGGACTTGCTGGAGGCTGTCCATCTGGGACCTGTCGCTGACCGCGCGACTTCTGTCACAGGCATCACGGATGTGCTCGGTCGTCATAATGCCAGCGAGTCGACTTATCATCCATGCCAGAAGAGGGCATGAAATACGGTTGGGTAATACCAGTCTCGCTTTCGAAGTGTCGGGAGGCCATCCGACCTTGCAGGAAGGGGGAAGACACGGACCAAACAGCGTCAGACATTCTGTGGAGATGACCTTATCGATAACACTAGCGTGCATTGGGCAAGTCAGGAGCAAGCATCACAACACGACGATAACGCTTGCAACATCCGCGGGGCTCGACAATGCATGCGACAGCGGACATGGTCCCGTATCGACAGTCTGGTGAGACTTTGGTCGATGGCGTCGTGTCATGTATAGACTGGACACTCCCGTCGCACGACTGCACCTGTACTTCCAGGGTGTCATGACATACTGTGACGCCCCAAGGTGTTTGTCCTTGCATTCGTACTTCACATCTTTCCCGGCTTTATCACCATGAATGTTTCTAAAAGCGACGCTATAGCCATCATTGGGGGAGGCGCGTTCGGTCTCTCCACGGCTCTTGAGCTCTCCAGGAAAGGCTACACCAACATCACGGTCTTCGAGAAAGATGACGAGATTCCATCCCGATGGTCTGCTGGCAACGACCTGAACAAGATCATGCGAGCGGAATACGAAGACGATTTCTATACAGATCTGGCCGTGGTATGTAGCTGTCTGCACCCCGAGCAATGCTATGCGGCACTGATCGTTCGAGCAATGACTGACATACCAAAAGGAAGCTACCCACGCCTGGCAAACGCCCCTCTACGCGCCTTACTTCCACCGAGTCGGCTATCTTAATGTTGTTTCTGGAGCTGCATCCCAAAAAGCAGTGGGAACGCTACACCGGTTCCAGGCGGCTGCCGAGAAGCACCCGGAGATGAAGCCTTTCTTTCATCATATCTCGGGCCCTCAAGACGTACGTGATGTAGCTGGAGCTTGGCAGTTTACCGGTGACATGCCCGGCTGGAAGGGATACGTGTCCAAGTACGACGGCTATGTGCACTCAGCTAATGCGCTGAGAGGGATTTATCGCGAGGCCAGGAAGAATGGGGTTAGATTCTTCTTCGGTGAGAAAGTCGGTGCGATAGAGAAGATCGTATATGAGGGATTGGACAAAAGCAGAAAAAGCATCGGTGTACGAACTAAGGCCGCGCAATTCCATGCCGCTAAGTTAGTCGTCGTCGCCGTTGGTGCCGCAGCTCACAAGATTGTCCCTGAGATCGGTACCGAAGTGTCCGCGAAATCGTGGTCAGTTGCACACGTCCGCCTTACCGATGACGAGACGGCAGCACTTCGCGGTATCCCAGTAACATACGCCCGCGACCTCGGTTTCTTCTTCGAGCCAGACCCAAAGACGAATCTCCTCAAGATTTGCCCGATGGGAGGTGGTTACATCAACACTAACCCAAGCACCGGGATTTCTGAAGCACCGCAAGAGCTTATGCGCTTCGTGCCGAAAGAAGATGAAGAACAGATGCGCGAACTTCTCCGCCAAACACTGCCCTACCTCGCCGATCGACCTCTGGTAGAAAAGTTTATATGCTGGTTTGCAGACACAGCAGACTCGGACTTCATCTTCGACTACGTGCCGAACACTTCCTCTTCTGTTATGATACTGTCGGGTGACTCCGGTCATGGTTTCAAGATGTTCCCGATCGTCGGAAGGTGGGTGGATAATCTGCTGAACGCACCCGACGGAAAGCAGAGTATTCTGAGGTGGCGTTGGAGAGTGCCAAAGCAGAAGGCCAAGGGAGAGAGCTTTGACCATGATGTGAGCTGGCGGATAGGAACTGTTAGAGAGATTCGCGATGTGCAAGAACAGGGAGCGGTAAAGCCAAAGATGTAGAGATCTCGGCTTATGTGCGCCTCCCGTGAAACTCGTCGTGGTCGTTGCGCGTGGTTCGTATGGTGGTGATGTTAGTCATTAGATGTTCGGATCAATGATCTGGTAGTCGTCCAACGTTGCAAAAGAAAGCCAGTCGGTCCCTTCCATGTCCATAGACTCTGCTACAGCCAATATCTGCTCGGCGGTCAAATCATCACCAAAACCACTCCCTTCATCACTGATTCCTGTATAAGATGATGGCCGCACCGTGTCTTGTGAGTGCGGCAGACCGGCTACAGATTGATAGCCTAGAGGGAATGAGGATGGGCGTTGTATGCTTGGTTCCAGGCCGATAGTGTTAGGTAATGTTGATGGTCGCTCCCTGTTCTCGGAGTACTCCGCCAACATCTCATCAAGCTTGCGGAGCTCCACGTGGCGAAACCCTGCGATGCGATTACCGCTAGACACAATGGTCTTGAAAAAGCTGTAAGCTTTGTCCAGATATGGCTTTTGGCCGTCCATTAGACTATGATCGATAAAACGCGTCAAAATCAGGACCACAGTTGATACGAAGAGTGCATCAAGATCCCATGGGAGGAAGGTCTCTGTATCATGGTCAGTCCACGGCATGGCGGAATGGCTGAGCACTATACCTAGTAATCCTTGATCGTGTAGAATTTCTAGAATATCGATGATCTTCTGAGAAGATTCAAGTGACATGCACAGTAGATGGCGTATCTTGCGTGAGGAGACTAGCGGTTGCACCTCTCTTGGTGACTCAAAGACCTTCTTCATACAACAGAAGAGCAACGGCCTCGTCACAACAACGATTGTCTAGTAGTTCGTTAGAATTGTTAGGTATCGCGAGAGATGTGTATCTTACTTGATAGTAGAGTAGATGTAGATAAGCCGGCATCCTCGAGATTCCGTCAAAGCGCTCGTCCGCATGCAGCGGGAATGAACGTCTGAGTTCTTCCGCTAAGGACGTAAGATCATCTAAAACGGCTTTGATGCTTAAGACAAACTTCTTGCGTAGCCGGCCTTTAGAACCATATACAGCTAGGAGTTTGGTCAGCAATCGCGTATATGAGATGGATGTCGACCCACACACTCCTAGCTATTTCTGCATAGATACGTGCAAGCTTGATCTGCATGTCGAGGGCTGTCACTCTTCGAGCTGAGCCCTCAAAGTCTGGAAGCTGGCAAGTTATATCCTCATCTCGAATCGACTGAGGTAGTCCCATCAAAGATGTCATTTGGCGATCGAGGATATAAACCGTCCACCAGATCTTACGGCATCGCTGAACAAGAGGCTGGCCTAGATTTTCCACAGGCATATCGGTATGCATTCCTTCAATCATCGATATGCGCATGGCTTGACCAATCTAGCAATGTCAGTCAATGTCGACAAGATATCACTGACGCCGTACTGTTACATGTGCTGCATTTCGTGAGTCCAAGGCTTGCATAAATAGCGCTATGCAGCAAAGTATTTCGACTGCCATTAAGGGTTCGCGGCAAAGACGACTGGTATCAGGCAGAAGTTGAACAGCGTAGGTAAAGAAGTCGGCGCCTGGCGGCCGCGGCGTCTGACTCTTCCCTTGGATGAAGGTCTTTCCAAAAGCTAGGATGAGAAGGAAATGTATGTACCACAAGCTGTCTTTCCATGTATCTCTCTCATTATTCGAGTAAAAGGCATGCAAGTTTGTCATAAACTCGTCTTCGTCAAAGAGATGGACAAGCTGGGCGCAGTGAAACTTCACAGCATTGAACAGAAAGATGGCGTAATCGATACTAGGTATGATCGGAGAGTTGGAGTCTGGAAGGCTGCGTGTGCCATTCCAGAGATGTTCGTATGCCGAGCCATCAAATAGCAGTTCGGTGCTAGGTAGCGGTGACTTTCGGATGTGCTCATGCACCAAATTGAGGATTTGTCCGTGGAAAGACCAGTTCGAAGACGTGCCTAGATAAACTACGAAAGCTCTTAGTTGTGATTCATTAAGCGTATACCATGAGCTTACATGGCCGCCCAGAGGATGAAGACATAAACTTGGAGGACTCAATAAGCGGGTTCATCAGATTTGCTTCATCTGGGTCAGGTCTAGGTATGGGTGAATTATCCCTCGTCCCCTCAAAGCTCGATGGGTTCGCCGGTGGACGATCGTCATCCGCTGCTGGTGAGCTTCCATCCCTGGCCTGGGCCGTCCTATTGTTAGCCGTCGTTCGTGCTTGTGATGCACCCGGCTCGTATGTTGGATTCTGCTCCAACCGGGCTATCTTCGCCTGGAGATCTGAGAGATGTCTGAGCAGCATTAGTATTTGTTCATCCAGATAGTAGTGCTCCTAAGCTACCCTTGAGTCACTAGGATCTTGTTCTCTCTATCATCGAAGATGCAGGTAAGGCTTCGTCTGCCACAATTGGAGCACGGCTGCTGTCCCGAGCATTTGATCTTCTGCCTCCTGCATCGCGAACAACTGCCCGTAGTTGTCAATAGTGCACCACATCGGCACCACGCAAGCTGCGTACGCGTTTGATGATCGTTTAGTCACTCTTCGGTGGTCGTTGGAGGATGCCATCGTGCTTGCCGAGGCTATTCACAAATCGGATGGACACCTGGGCAGTTTAACGAGGTTGTCGGTAACGACGCGGAAGTAACGCTTGTAAGCTCGCATGCAGAAGCTCTGCAGTCATGAGCCAGAGACATCGACCGCCGATTCCGGCTAGATACCACCTGGGCACTAATGCGGGGACTGATAGGGAGCTGATGTCATCGCTTGGCACCTGCCATCGTGTGTGTGAGTGGGCATCTCTGGTCCTCACCAAAGTTGAGTTTTCTCACGCATACCTTCCGCAATCGCAACGTAGTCTGTGATGTGGCCGCGACTCTGAAATGACGCGTCGACGTAACGACGCCCTACGCGTTCCCCTGGATGATCAATCTAAGCGGCTGGGTTAGCGCCTCGCACACTGAGCCGTGCGTCGGGTGCGCTTCCGTCCCTCACACACAAGCGTTCTTCATCGAGCGTCCCAACCACCGCTTTACAGATTGACCCATCGGAGCTCTTAGCACCGTTGGGAAAGGATTATGGTTGAGAATGGAGAGGCGATGTTATCTGGGTGTGAAGGTCTTGTCCGGTTCAGTGCCCTGGCCGCAATGCCACTTACGCGACCATATGTCGGGAGGCCTCCCGATCAATTTGCGCAGCGATGGCATGGCATTGTGAGCTTATCAGCCAACCACAAGTCGCCGTGCTGTTTGTCGCAAACGGGTATTCGCGGGCATGAGAGTCACAGCGATATCGCTAGGCATAGTGTGTGTCGTCGGAATGCATTGCCGTTGCGAAGTACTATCGTGGAGAGGCAGGTATAGAAGGTAGATCCACGACAGAGTGCTCATCATACCTCTCTCTGCCCCACCATGTCGACCACCCGAAGCCTCGCACGGCTCTCTGAGAACACAAGGCGGCCTCTGACCAATGTATCGAGATTCCGCCGCCTCCAATGCCAGCTACGTACAAAAGCCACAGTACCATTCCGGCTACCTGATGCACGCAACGAGCCAAATCCGACTTACGAGAGAGGCTCTCCGGAGCGCACCCAGCTGGAGGTGACCCTAAAGCGCATGAAGTCGCAGATTCCCCTTCAAAGCGAGATTCACTTCAATGGCAAATCGCAACAAGTTTCTAGATCTTGGGATCAGCCATTGCCCGCGGACCACCAGACTACCTTCACCAATTACCCACTCGCAAGCAAAGAGCAGGTCTCAATAGCCATCGAGTCGGCCCTCAAAGCTAAGAAGTCATGGGAGAATACGGCTTTTGTTGATCGAGCGGCAATCTTTCTCAAAGCCGCGGAGCTAGTAGCGACCAAGTACCGGTATGAGCTCATTGCGGCAACCATGCTTGGCCAAGGGAAGAACATTTGGCAAGGCGAAGTAGATGCCGCTGCTGAGCTGGCGGACTTCTTCCGGCTGAACTGTAACTACGCGGCGGAGATCATGGGAAAACAAACCGAGCGAGGTACAGACGGGATGTGGTCCCGCATGGACTACCGCCCAGTGGAAGGGTTCGTCTACGCTGTCTCGCCGTTCAACTTTACAGCTATCGGCGGTAACCTGATCTCGGGCCCTGCCATCATGGGAAATGTGGTACTCTGGAAGCCGTCGCCCTCGAATATCTACGCGAGCACCCTCGTGTACAAAGTTTTGCTTGAAGCTGGTCTGCCACCTGATGTCATTCAGTTCGTGCCCGGAGAGCCCGAAGAGATCAACGATGTCGTGCTTAACCACCGAGACTTCGCAGGGCTTAACTTCGTAGGTTCCTCAGACGTCTTTAGGTCTCTCTGTGCTCGTATCGGTCAGGGTATTGGGAACAACACGTATCGCGAATTTCCACGAATGGTAGGAGAGACAAGTGGCAAGAACTTCACTCTCCTTCATCCAACGGCGGATGTCCAATCTGCGGTGAAGCACGTCGTTCGCGCTTCGTTCGAGTACCAGGGTCAAAAGTGTTCGGCAACGTCTCGCCTGTACCTTCCAGAGTCTCGATCGAAGGAGTTCATCGACACGTTGGTCGATGATGTGAAGGGTATTACTCAGGGTAATCCACACGAAGATCTCGCCACCTTCATGGGCCCAGTCATTCACCGTCGTTCATTCGAAAAGATCAAGACTGTCATCGACGAAAGCAATCAGGATTCTTCGCTCAAACTCCTGGTTGGCGGTACCTATGATGACTCTGAAGGCTTTTACATCAAGCCAACCGTCTATCTCGCAGACTCGCCAGACCACAAGCTCTTCAACTATGAGATCTTCGGTCCTGTACTCGCAATATACGTCTACCCTGATGCGGAGTGGAACCACATTTTAGAGAAGGTTGATCAAGCTGGTGGTAATTTCGCGCTCACAGGTGCTGTTTTCGCCAACTCCCGTACCGCTATACGTGAGGCAGAAGACGCGCTCCGCTATTCTGCGGGCAACTTCTACATCAGTGAGTCTTACCGGAATGGCGATCAGCGCGGAAGCTAACGAGCCATCAGACTGCAAGACCACCGCCGCGCTCATCGGCCAGCAGAGCTTCGGCGGAAGTCGCGCAAGTGGAACCAACGATAAGGCAGGCTCTTCGAACCCAATGTTTCGCTTCGTTTCTCCACGGCAGATCAAGGAGGAGTTTTTCCCGGTCGTTGACTACCGTTATCCTTCAAACAACTGATTTGCATGCCGCTGGTGTCAGAAACTGTGACAAGGGTTTGCAGGTGGAGGTCTTCCATTGCCGGAAAGCATGCTTCCAGTAGGGTTTTTTGGCAGTTCAGGCGTGCGATTTCGAATGCGCTTTCTCTCATCGCGGGATAGACTTTCCATAGCAACACCGTACGTACCTTCCTTACACATCTTACAGTGAGGTGATGCTGCGACGCGTGCGCCTAGTGGCTGCGTGCTGAAGGCGCATGATGACTAAGCAGACCCACTTTGCGTTGGACGCGTCACGATCAGTCGCGCCGTAGCCAGCACTACAAACCTCAGTTTCAAAGCGATTTAGCGATCGATCATCCAGTTGCCATTACTCAATATTGTACACAGCTACGCGTACAGCGTCGACGAACGTTGGCCAGAGGACGACACGGTGCGACCGCGGTCATCCCGGAAAACGCGTTACTTCCTACACAACTTTGGTTTTTGCGACGCAAGACGCCCTTTCTTCACCATGTCTCTGCTTCAAAGGTCGGGCGCATTATCTGAGGTTGGGTCACAAGAGAACGGAGTCGCTTTGGCACAACATAGTACGTGTGAAAGACGGGCGTTCACGTCTGCTTGTTACCATGGAGATGTTCTAGTGGATACGATATCTCCTGACTAGGATAACTCATCTCGCTGTTGGGGGCAGTTTCGTTTGCGCAAATATAGTAAAATCTATCTACCACATCCCATCGCCATCTCGCCGCCCAAATGTCTCCCCTCTGTACGTCTTGACGATACTCACGGGCAGATGACGACCGAGCGCATGCTTACTTCTCACATTCTTCGTTACGAGAGAGTGGGAACCGCGAAGATGGTCCTGTCAAGATTGAGGGCTGGATGTTGAGGAAGAAAGAGCCGCATATGGAGGAAACAGGGGACTTGTGAAAGTGTCACGGTAAAGGTGGTTGCAGTAAGACATGTGTGTGGTAGGATCAACCGATCCCGCTCTCTTCGATGAATGTATCGGGCTGTGCTTAGACGACCACGGGGCTGTAGTGAAATCCCACCCGTGAGCATTCGTTTGCTTTGCACAGCCCCTTCAGGTCCATAGCCCAAGAGCACCCTTTTCTAGTCTCCCCCCTTCCATAAAGCTCCAGAAACTCACCGCGGTTTCCATTCTCCATCTCAACCACACTCGTATTTGCTCAACCCGCTAGAGCAAACAACGATGAATACACTGTACGTATAAACCCCTTTGGCGCTCGAAATATATACTCATTACTGCAGTACCGCATCTACCGCCGCCGTCTTTACCGCCGCCGTCCCACTTCTCATCTCGCGTCTCATCATGACGCAACCAGTCAACATCAAGAACTGGAGTCCCTTCAAGATCGACGCGCTCGGTATCGTAACGCTCCTGGGCGCCGACGCGGTCCGCAAGTCCCTTGGCCGCCTCGTCTACTCACCTTTCGAATATTATCCTCTCCTCGCTGGTCACATCTTCGCCGATAACTCAGTCATGGAACCGATTCCAGGCTTTGAACTATACAACATCACCGAAGGCATTAAGGCAACCGATCTAAGCGCTTGGTTTACACGCTGGCTGTCGTGTCAGAAGCTGTCGTACAACTCTACGCGGCTTGAGATTCAATCTGATCATCGTGTTCCTAGACCTCAGACTGAACAGTGGTTTGGATTTTGGTTAGCTTTCTTAGTGAACGCTTTTCTGGTCATCTGGCCGATGCGAATAAAAGACTGGTATGGTCTCGCTGCTTCTCTCAGTCTCGTCGCTCTGGTTTATGTTCGAGCCTGCATTCTCTTCGACTTCCGCGGTAGCATCGACGAAGCTATCAAGCAGTTGGACAATCAGGCGACAAAGAAGGGTGAGGTCAAGCTCTTCATTACCTTGCCAAACGGTAAGCGTCTGACTGTCATTACCACGACTGGCATCGCGCAAGATGTTCTGCTCACGGAAGCTCGCCCAGCCTCCGAGAAACTCCACTTGGTCAGCCGTGTTATCTGCTGGCTAGCTTTCGGTGTCCACGCTGTCACGCTAGGCATGGCCTGCCTTGCTGTCCAACTCTTCATCATCACTGTCACACTAGCCTCATCTGTCGCGATGATACAGGGCTGGCTATCCGACGGATCAAACAGTGATGAAACCTGCATTGGTAACCGTCTGTCCATTACCCAGAGCCACGACGGGAGCGCTGGTAGCAACGCTAGCCAGTATGTATGTCTTGAGATGACCAAAGCGGAGGAGCAGAACATGGTCGCGTGGTCTTTCTTCCCGACACAGCACAACAAGCTTTGGCTACCGACGTATGAGAAGTTCAAGGAGGACTTCAAGGCGACACGTGATCCCAAGATATTGGGATCGTGGAAGAAGCGTATGCAACTAGCGCATGCGAACGCCAATGCTGGGCAGCAAATACAGTAAGAGGCATGTTTCCTGCTTCATCTGAGCTGTAGGGTACGAGATGCGAAGGTGCATCCGATTTCGTGGTTGTTGTAGGTAGATGCTTGAGCGTGGCAGGTGTGATTGGCTTGGTGCGTCCCGTCGTACCTGCCTCATGATGAGACGCTCTCCCCACTGTCTCTAGAACTACAATACCAACACCAATGCTCCTATCACATGTTTTGATATATGATAGCTTGTTTATGCCTTTGCGCACAGTTAGAAACGAGTCACAGCGGCTAACAAGGTCGACGACTGCTTGCATGTCGCCGAACTGATCTCTGGGAAGGCCTGCAATTGCGGCGAGCTCTTTCAGCTGCAGTGGCCGGAAGGCAAGCGTGATCGACCGAAATGCTTTTACAGTGCCCTGTATTCTCGGCATCTTGAGCCGCTATCTGCAGCATCATTCGCTCGTGGAGCGGGTTGAGTTCTGGCAGCAGTGTCCGCAGCAGCTTCTTATCTTCTCTATATTGCGGCGTAGTTCAGCACTGCGCATCCCTGAGATTGTTGCACTGTGGTTGGATTAAGCTTGACCTATTTAAGCTTTTGAATCCTGAATCAATGAAGTCAATTAAAACACTTGTGGGCATCTCTGGTGACGACCAACGCAACTGCCCTACCTGTGTGACGGAGACCCTAGTAGGCCGAAAAGACCTGATATCAGATACAGCATCTCGCGGGAATCCTTACTGACCTTGTTCTCTTATTGGCTAGTTCCGGCCGACCGGGTTTTCCGCTACACGGGGAGGGAGGGTTAGCTTCTATCCAAGGGAGCAGAAGGTCGGTGTTTTGTGCCGCAACATCTCTGCTTGTGAGGCATGCTTCGAATATAAAAGGAGCCTGCTGGTTCTCTCGATATTGTAGCCATCATCCCGTGCTTTTTGTCTGCAGCTCCTCATTCGTCCGGCTATAGTGTAGGCAACAGCATGCTCCTCCCCAACCTGACTGCCTTAGCAACTCTTCTCACAATCATCACTGCCACGCCTACCCCTCCAGAGAAGAAGAGCGCGGATAACGGAACCTTTGAAGCGCTTGTCAAATACGAAGTCACTTGCCGCAGCGGAGGTAACACCCTACCACGCTGCTACGAAGGAGGCTCGGCTGGCTGTCGCTGCACTAGCAAAAGAGTGTACGACTGCCAGAATGCAGAGTGTAGAGAATACTGCAGGTGCACCGAGTATGCGCTCCCAATCCTCCACACGCCCACTGCTGCTACCCATCAGAGCCACTCGTTGTCTTATCTTTTCGACCTCTGTAAACATAACTCTAACAGTAATTACAGGGTCTACTACCCCCAATGCCCCCACTGCCCCTAGGTTAGAATCGCCTCCGCCAGATACCACTCCGCATGAGGACTTCGACGTCGATATCATCTGGGAGAACATGGATATTCGTAGCGATTTTAGATCGATGCGTAAGAGTTCGCGGGGACCGATTGGGCGCATTCTGGTCGACTTTGGAAAAGTGCTGGAGAGTGGGATGTTTGAGGTGATTAGTGTGAATGCGAGTAAGCATATGTTCTGTGCGGTGGTGGCCTGTCAGAAGAATAGAGATGAGGGAGTCGATGATCTACTGTGGACTGTGCTCTAGGGGCTGTTTGCGTGTTCTGATGTTCTGCTCTCTTGTGTTCGGTTGTTGTGGCTCTCTCGCTCGTAGTCACAAATATGATCTGTTTACATGACATGTCTCTGATGTATACGTGCTGGTCCTAAGAACAACTACTTACAATATTCATAGCGCACACCCGAAGGCGCCCACTGGTAAGCGCAATATGCGCCGACTACGTATCAGTTTTGAGTATTGCTGCTCCTTTTCGCATCGCAAGCTTTGTGTATTTCCTTTGTTCGTTGTGATGGTGTCGCTATCAGGTGCCTGTGCGCATCTCGTGCAGGTGCTGCCAAGCTGCTTGCTCAATGTCAGCCAAACAAGGTAGCAGTGTATATCATGCTGCACGTTCAATTCCATCTGAAGGGCAACCGCAACGGCTGAGTTACCAACAACACCATGCAGCACATACCCTTACTCCAGAACCCGACGATTGGCTACATAGAAGTACCTTGCCTGACTAATCAAGAGTACGACGGGGGGGATCTCGAAACGTTTCCCGCGCGACAAGGTTACGGTGATAGGACTGCTCTAGAATGGAATAAGTTATTCGAAGACCCCTCGGCAGAGTTCGTCGCTTTCTTGCAGCTCTGGCAATACTTTGGGTACATCAGTACGGTACTAAGGTTCGCAACCCTGGCGAATCTTACGAAGGTCACCACAGATGGGAGAAGGGTGGTTGACACCTCCAGTCTGATTGCACTGACTGAAGAACACATCGGAAGCACTCCAGAAGGTTACGAACTCGAAGACGAAGGTGTGGTACCGTCGATGCGGCCCTTTCCCGAAGTGTTTGACGAACTAGATTGGGACCCCGACAGGAATGTATCGCTGAATATTCCCATGAACGAAAGGGAAGATCGACGCTTAGAAGTGGAAGTTATATCGCTTTACACGTTCATGTCCACGTTCGAGTTTCATGATCCACTTCCGCTTGAGATACTTGACTCAATTCGCCTGCTTCGAGACTTCGCTTTCGTTGTCTGTATGAATTATTCGTCTCCTTTCTCGCTTCAGAAATGGCGCCAATTGGATCTGAACATTCCTGGTGATGAGGGTTCGTCATTAGCTCTCGCTTGCAACGGTGGCGTTTACAAGCAACGAATGCTAGACCAAAATTGGTGTCTATCCCGCATACAAGAGTATACGACAAAGTTGACGTTGACGGCCATGGTTCATGTCGCGAATCTCCCACGCCCCGATGATCTTAACCATCACAATTGCACAACCACGACCTGCTGTCATGCAAGAGTGGATGAAGCTACCTATTCTACCAGGCATGCTACTGATTGCAGTGGCTGCCCTTCAGTTGCTGCAGATTTCAAGAGAATGAGCTTAATTCTAGAGAGCGACTCTTACCCGGTCGTTGACTTGTTTGCTCCGATTATGCCTGGAGACAAGCTTTGCTTAAGTTCTGTCGACAGTCGTAGTCGAACTTCACCCATCCCATACGTAGCCATATCGCACATTTGGTCCGACGGATTGGGTAATCCTCGCGAGAACTCGATTCCTAGCTGTCAGCTCAGCAACTTGCGCCGGTTGGTACGCAACGTTCCTCAACCACCAGATTTAGGTCCATATTCCTGCTTTTGGCTAGACACTATTTGCTGTCCGGTTGAAGATGGATCAGAGGCACAAAAGATGGCTATAGCCAGGATGAAGACCACGTATGAGAATGCCTCGGCCGTGCTAGTGCTGGATGCTTCGCTCGTAGTACATACGGCGAAGACCCTAAGCGATGTTGAGATTTTACTGCGGATCGTATGTAGCAAATGGATGGGTCGGCTGTGGACTCTTCAAGAAGGCGCGCTGGCCCGGAAGCTTTTCTTTCAATTCGCGGACGGTCCGTATGACGTAGACCTGGGAGTTTCCAGACTCATGGCGAGTCAGGACCCAGCTGTACGACTGACAATGCAACGAACGATCATCCACCAAGTCGAAGAGCTTCGTGTTCCAGTACAATGTTCAGATCAAGCGGATGCATTGAAGACCTTGGCCAACGCCGTACGCTTCCGGTCTACAAGTGTGCATTCGGATGAACCCTTGTGTTTGGCAAATTTGCTTCGCATCAACAGTTCAACAATATGGCAGATTCCGGCATCTGACCAGACAGGCAGAATGATGGCTTTTTGGAAATTGATTTCAAAACTCCCCCTACTGCTCATATTCGAGAACCGTGAGAAGCTATCTCAACCAGGATTTCAGTGGGCTCCAAAATCTCTACTCCAATGGCAGGCCCCGACTATGGCGAGCTCCAAAAACGTCATTTGGAACAGGAGCGCTGAGAGAACGCATAACGGTCTACAGTTCCGCGCACCCGGTATTGTTGTAAGTCCACGTCTCAAGAGTAAGGTACCTGCAAGTTTCGTCCTCTGTACGACCAAGGGTAGATGGATCTCTGTTGGGAATTTCGGCGGACTCGATGTTTGGGACAGTGGTTCTGGGCCGTTAATGCTTGTTGGCATTACGGACTTCGAGGAGAGCGCTGTGACAGGACTTCCTGGCTTGCTCGTTGAAGAGGTCGGTAGTAGCTTCTACGGACAGCATCGTGCACGTATTATCCAATACGTATCGGTGCGTATGTTCGCGGGGCAGGATGATGGCTTCTTGGTAGACAGTGCGGCATACGCGGCGACATTCGCGACTGTGGTGAGCATGGAGGCGGCAGAATTGGGTTGGAAACACTGGTTATTGCAGTAGTCCCAGTCGCGTCTTCTTTACTCAAACGATGTTGACTCAGGGTGATGGGTAGAACTCTAGTAGGTGAGGAACATTGTATCTTAGTTGGCTGAACAAAGACGCGATGGACAGGTACGAGGCAAAGCAGAAGCACAGACCGCCTAGACCATGGACATCCCTGTCATGACGGCGCAGCTGTCAGTTGAAGTCCGCCATCGTCACCAACCCTCAACCTGGAGTTTGTTGCTACTACAGTCGTCTTGGGGGCCAATTTCTAGCAGTCGCCATGCCGATTGACCGCCGTACCCGATGAGCTGCCTACGAACCCGCAGCCCGCGCCGCCCAGCCTCCCTACCATGTCCGCGTCGAACACCCGGGTATTCGTACAATGGAAGGACTCTACCGTGTTCGCCGGCGAAGACATAGAATGCACCATTACCTTCAAGAATGTCGCCCCGCCTGAGGGACGCGACCGCTCCCCGGTCCGGAGGCAGAACGGCTTTGGGACGGGCGGGGAGAGACAGCGCAAACTACCGCCCGTCCACTCGTCGACGCGCCCCTCGGTATCCCGCAATTCGTCCTTTGCCTCGCAGCTGCCGCCGTCACAGCTTCGCGGACATCGCCCTGCCTTATCGCTGCATACGCCATCGACAGCTGGAGACCGCCGATCGTCTGTTGCGCCGAGCATCATCCATGCCAACAACACGGGCACACACAAACATGGGAGATCCGTGTCAATTGTGTCTTTAGGGGCAGATGCGGGAACTGAAGCCAGCCACGAGAGGGGCATACCCATCAGACGCCCAGCAAGAGGGCACGGAAGATCAGCCAGTCTGCAGGTCGTGCCTGGCAGGCCAAACTCATACCCAAGTACGGACGACATGTACAATATACGTCATTGGCTGACATGATAGCAGTTGCTTCACCAGGTCATAGATCAGCGACTCATCCATCTCCACTATCTGGTGAAGCGTCCTCTCCGCTGGCCCGCGACACCAACGACTTTGCCTTTCCCGCGCGTCAGAACAGGAGACGGCCTGGTGTCACGACCACCCCGAGTACCCCAGCTCTTCCGACTACAGGGCGAAAACCGTCCAATTCCTTCTCCCAGAACTTCAAGTTCCCTGCCGCACCTCCGCCCGACGATGCCACCCATCCGCAGCCTGGTAGCAGTCCTACAAAGCAACCCATACACGTCCGGCGCAACTCCCCACAACCGCCACATGACTACCTACGGTCATCTGGAAGCCACAATCTCGAGGTGCTTTCACCTGTTGCGCGGATAATATCTGGGTCGAGCATGAATGACACCCCGCGTAGTAGTGGAGAGTTCTACTCGATGAGCAACAACTCCAACGAGACACTGGCTTCGGAATATGCGGCTCATCCCTCAGCGCGTCTACTACAGCGACCGATGCATCATCGGCGACCGTCACATTTGGCACCACCCAATAGACAAGCTCTGCCAGAGTCGATAATGATGGGCTATGCGCAAATCATGGGGTCCTTCACGCTGGACGGATCCTTGATCAACCAAGCACCTTTCGAGGAGGTAAAGAGGAAGGGAGTAGTGGGCGGCCAGGGTGGAGGTGGTGTAGTGGGTGTAGAGAAGACGAAGCGCGAAAGTGGGCTCTTTGGCGCGCTCGGTTGGGGTAACATAGGAGAGTCACTGGGTGGGCTACTGGGCGCTTCCGAGCCCTCTAGTATCCGAGAGATGCGAGGCGTTGCCAGCTCCAAGACTGTCCCGCTCATCACTACACCCCAGTCCATTCTGTTCGTCGATTTACGGCTTGCGCCTGGCGAAAGCCGCAGCTACACGTACAGCTTTACAATACCCCGAGGTCTGCCACCTTCGCATAAGGGGCGGTCGATGAAGGTAGCATACAATCTCATCATTGGCACACAACGCGCGGGATCGACCAAAGAACAACAAGTGAAGCATGTGGACGTTCCGTTTCGGGTGTTTGGCAGTGTGAACAGTATGTCAAGTCTGAGGATACAGGTGTCGATATGCTAATCCCTTACAGGCCGTGGCGAGATTCTCGGACATGATCTCATGTCTCCGTACATCATATTGCGCGATCAAGCTCGAACAGCCAGCATAGACCCTTCTTCAAGCGCGAAACTTTCCCCAACAAAGAAGGGCGTTTCTTCGGGCAAGTCGGAAGAGAACACTTTCAGCGACTTCCTAGAGTATGTCGACAATCTTCTCGATCGACCTAGGCACAATTCTAGCATGGGCTTGCTTTCACCTACGGGCACCATGCCCGGGCGCTCAACGATTGCCGAGGGGCCTCAGACCATGAAGGAGGCTATCGATACAGCCATCTTGCGCAGCAACTTGACAGGCGCTGCCAACCAGAGCGCCAATCGCTTCGAGATTGCTCGCAGCGGCCGCCGTGTCGCGGTCATCATGTTGGCGCGGCCCTCTTACAGGTTAGGCGAAACAATGTCTGCCGTAATCGACTTCACAGATTCACGCATTCCCTGTTACTCAATACATATCTCTCTGGAGACTTCAGAGAAAGTCGATCCGGCGATAGCGCTTCGCTCTAATGCGTCGATATACCGCGTCACAAAGAAAGTGCACGCATCATTTTCAGAAAATGCTCTGTTTGCGCAAAAGCTCGCCTTCTCGCCGACGATACCACCCAATGCGACACCGGAGTTTATCACCAGCGGCGTCAGTCTGGAGTGGAAACTCAGAATCGAGTTCATCACCCCTCGACTAACGCACGAGGACGGAGAGGAGACTTCGTGGGACGACCTCTTGGAAGAAATATCTAGTGACGACCGAGGTGTCATATTAGCAGCGGCGCAACGATTGCCTGCTGAGAGCTTTGAAGTGCAGGTACCAATACGGGTATACGGGGCTGTGAGCGGGGCGCCCGAAGCACCTGATGAACAGGGTCTTCCTGTATGAAGTTGGCCATACAAACGGCAGCCATTACCACCAGCTCCACGCTGAACCAAAACGCAACAATTGGGGCAGAGCACTGATCCTCCGCATCTCGCTACCCAGCTTCTCATCCGCCGCTTACCCTTAGGGGCCATTATAACCTTTTGTACATGACTAGGGATATATGGCATACATATTGGATATTGGGAAGGAAAAAGGGAGCGTGTTGGAAAGCACTTGTAGCATACCAGCTCGTCACTTGAGCAATTCAGGGTTCTAGGACACAGAGTCCATGGTCGGCAGTAATTTCATCTATCCATATTCATTTACGTCCCTTTGTTGTGCTATTCGGTTCAGGTGACACCCTGTAGGTGGAACCAGATACCCTCGCCCACGGCAGAACCATGTTTGACGCAACGAAAAATACCTTCTGCTTCCCCTTCCATCACTTTAAATATTTAAACTGTCCTCGCCTTTGTTTATTTGTTACAAATTTCGAAGAAACACCAATACTTACCTTACTCAAAATGACTTCCCTTTACAATACGGTCGGTTGGAAGACATCTTCCATGCAAGATCTAAAAGACCAAACCAAGAAACTACAGCGTGAAAGCGATTTGAGGAAACTGCAAAACACAATAAGAGATAGCATAAGCGAAGGCATTAGGGCTCAAACTCTCAAAGAGGGCATCAGTCTCAAGATCGAGAACGAAGACGGCCAAGTGTACATTCTCCTTGCTCCCTCAACCACCAATTAGAACATCACTAACACATATATGCTATTCTAGTTTCTTCCGCCCAAACGGCACTATGAAGGGCAGTTCAGCACTGAACATCGAGATGAAGAACAAAGGATTCAATGGCAAGATCTACGTTGAACCCGGCGCCTCAAGCTGGTTCACTGGTGGATGGGCCAGAGCGCTCGTTCTGGTGGGAACGGTATATCTATACCGTAACGAACTCCGCATCATCGGCCGAGGTGTGCTAGCTGGAGCGAATCTAGCCATCGAGCGTTGGGAACAACGTTAGCGTCAGCAAGATGGTGATGTGAAAGGGAAAGAAGTCGAAGAGGAGAAAGAGCAAGGAAAGGAGAAGCAGATGATGCCTGTCACGCCGACTGAAGAGAAAGGCATCAACCAAAATGCCTCCATATACCCTCCTCACCCACCACCCGTACAGCCACCCGGCAGCCTGTACGTATTTTCATGTGTGCGGTGTTCTGATCCAGGATCACCTTCATACCCAGCCCCATACGACAGCAGTGGATTCGACGCAGACATGGACACGCCAACCTCACCCCAGAGCCTGCGTTGACGTTGGGTCACTTGCTTTGCAGGTTTTTGATTTGATGTAGTCTGCATACCTGTTCAACTTTTTTGCTTGCATGAGGTGGGAATCAGTGGTCTGTAGTGGAGCGCGCGTTGTTGACCGTTAGCCATTATAGACGATATCACAGACATATGGAGGAAGCAAGACGGGATACATATCACACAACCCAACTCACTGTACGGACCACGAAAACACAACTCAGCTCATAACCATATCATTGAAGTCATCATGTCTCGAAAAGTGTATGTAGATGTAATCGCAGTCCATCGCCAAGAAAGCCTTCTTCACAATCGAATCGAATCAGGCAGAAAGTGTGTCCACGAAGCCCGATCATACTCGCCCGGGACTTTTATGCTGGTCGCTCACAATCCATCAATCATGCTCCCTTTGTTTCGTCCGTGTCGCTTACAATCCACCGGGTCCGGCAGCTGAGTGCGCGCTGGCTCCGGCGCCGGGGCCCAGCGACGCATGTGTCGCTTCGCGGTGGGCTGCGTCGCGTGCCTCGCGCTCCTTGGTCTCGGCGGCGATTTGGTCTTCGGTCTTCTTGTTGCCTCGGGCGATGAGCTTCTCGAGGAGGCCGCCCTTCTTGGGCGTGTCGTGCTTGTCTGAGTCTTCAAATTCTTTTAGGTAGGCGACGCGCTCTGAGGGGGGCATCGAGGCGAGTTCAGAGTCGATTGAGTCGCGGTTCTCTGGGCGAGTGGGTTAGTTGTGGGTTGGGTGAGGCTGAGGTTGAGATGTCGGGGAAGGCGCGATGTTGGATTGGTGGTTTATGAAGAATACGTGTATAGTACATCATCGAGGATTCGAAGCTGACTTACCCTCGATAGTGCCGACATTGCCAGCGCGGACATCGTCCTCGGCCGTCTTGTTCTTGCTGCTGCCAAGGTGGAGCTTCTCCTTGATCTTGTCCATTTTCAATTGCTTGTTTTAGGTTGTGGGTTGGGGTATCGGGGTACGTGTGTACTGTTGACGCGGATGAATGGCAGAGGCAGGAGTTAGGTGTTTGGTGTGTTGTCTAGGTCGGAGGAGGCGCGCGGGGATGAGGGGTGATGGTAGCTTCAGCCATGCGTGTCACCTACGTCATAGCTTCAACATAGTCCAGCTGCCAGCTGCCCTGTTGGAGGTGGATCTAGTCAAGCGCGATCCATGCACTTCATTTCCAGGTTATGCAGCGAACGCCTTGTAGTGGCTTGGGATTTTGTCGTTCTTCGCTTTATGCTTGGGCTGCATATGCCTACGTGGTGTCTGACATCAGCCTCACGAGCGGAACGCGTTGCGGGCACCCTGAGAAGCTGCAAGTGGTAATTATGGCTCTAGCATTGTTGTCCCTGCGTCTCGTATTCGACTTCGAGAATTAGCTCTTAGAATGGCCAGGAGCCATCTACAAGATCATAATTGCGATACTGCAGCGGTAGACTTCCCTGTGACAGATGTCCTTGCATGAAAAACGAAGCATGTACGCAGCCGGGACCACATACATCAAATTCATCATGGCCGACGTCTCCACTTCCCGGATGGAGCTCGTCAGTAGCCCACAGTTCCAACTTCGTGTTGCTACCCTTGTCATGACAATGCATGTCCTTCAGCCCTACGAGCCGATCACCCGGTAACTCTTGGCAGGTGATTTCAGTCTGTGGAAACCAGCATCAATCTGCTTGTGCACTCTCAGAACCCTTGGAACCTTCTCCGAGTATCAAACGGCAACGGCATCGTTTGTTGAAGAAATTCAGATGTCGAAGTTGGCGCGTGCAGAGTTATCGGTGGCTGAATCGTATGCCTTTGAGAAAAATTATTATTATATTCGGCTTCGTTTGCTCATAACCAAAGTCCCATTGCCAATCCATGAGTGGTATCTCTAGATGTACGCCAAATCCAAACGCCTTAGTATGACCACCGCCCAGTATTCAATGCTGACCATTAATATTTATGCTGTGGAAACTGGGGTGTCATTGGTGATACGCCAGAGCGTACTCCAAACTCGCCTGTCGCGTATCCGTCGTCGCTAGCTATGCCGCTCACACTGCGCCCTGTGCTACTCTCGGCATCCGCTTCGCGTGGGCCAGGGTATTGCGGCAGCTGTACTTCTCGCCATCTAGGTGTGACTGGCATCATTGACTCGCCATGCAGCTCTTGTGGCTCATCCGCCATGCTGATAACTGTCTTCTGATCCTGCGGATACGCATGACCGACGAATTGCTCGTTGACAGGAGAGGCAAGCTCAGTCAACGGTGTCCCGTGGAGTTCCTGCGGGCCCACAGCTTTGTGCGGCTGGCTGCTAGCGAGGATGTCGGTGCCTGAACCAACCTCCGATATGTGCTTGCTTGCGAGTTCGTATCGTTGCTCTTTTTGCTGCTTGCCGCGACGCTTCCGGAAGAAAAATATACCAAGTGCGACCAGGGCGAGAGCAGCGACTGCACCGATTACTATGCCGACGATGGCACCTACACCGAGACCCGAGGATGAAGATGAAGCTGGCGTGGCAGTGGTATCGCTCGGAGATTTGATGGTCATGACTTCTGACGCGGGTAGAGGATCAGGAAAGACTGCCTGCGCAACCGTGAAGTTTGCGCGTTCATAGTCTACTATGAGATATGCCTCCTGTAAAAGTGTCCTGCCCAGTGCATATTGTGTATCGTTCGCGGCGCGGCGGATCGGGAAGTAGTTCGTTGCGTTTGTGTAGTACGGGTACGAGGCTTGGAGGTCGAATGCCGCATACGGCAGCTCTATATTGGTGTAATTTGTAGTCGTGTCTTCGAGGGAGTCGACGAGCTTGAACGTGAGGGTCGGGTTCTTGGATAGGAGTTCTTTGTGGATCGTGTCGTTGACAAGGTACAAATCTGTCTGAGGATCATAAGTCAGGCCAAAGGCTGTCTCGAACTCAGCACACACGTCCGCGGGTAGCCACAGATGCGGAACGGTAGAATCAATGACAGAGAAGTGTGCTCCAGAAGTCAGGGAGTAGGTGCCCTGCAGCGTATTTGTAGCCATGATCGAGTCCACTCCAACAGTCAGGAGCCGGGAGGGGTCTTGTGAGAAGGTGAATGAGAAGTCGTTCGCGCCAGTCTCGAACCGTGTCGCATCGTAGCCGCCCAGTATCAGGCTACCGAATACAGATTTCAACCTGTACTTCGCGCCTGCCGTATACGCATATGCAAAACTGGGGATCTTCTTGCTTTCGCGCAGCAGGTAGAGGAACGAGTCGACCGGCTGGCTCCCACTGTTGAAGCTGGACTTTGCCTGACCTAGGCCCAGAATTCCCAGATAATAGTCCGGGTCGGCAACGGCAGCGACGACCTGGCGCGTTAACGACACAGAAGAGCTACTGTCCGCAGCTGATCCTAGAGTGACGGTATCCAGGCCAAACAATCCTCTCCCTGTGTAGTTGAGCGCATCCTCCAAATCGACGTCGTATTGCCCGATCGCCGACCAGGTTGTCGACGCGTCAACCTGGAAGCCGGTGCTTTGCGCGCTTTGGAAGACCTCTATCCCTCGGAGTTGTGGGCAATCTGTAGGGTCGACTCCCTCCAAACAACCTTCCGGTGCAATGACGTATGTGACACCTCCCTTCGTACTGGGCAGTACACGAAAGTCTTGTCCTGGCGTTCCAACGCTGATCTTGAAGGTGCTCCAGCTCCCATCGGCACCATCGAACTTATTCGAAGGTGGCACAACATACGGCTCCGGGGCCTCGGTAGCGCGCGGTGTGAGGCGCATGGTGTAGCGAGCGAATGGTAGTGAGGGTTGTAAGACGTCCCTACATGGACCTGGCAGCGATCGGTCGACGACTTAGAAGGTGCGAAGCGTGCAACACATGGCGGAGTCGTCTGTCGGAGGACTTGGTATGCCGGCTTGAGTCAGCTCAGCTACCGGGAATGCGGTTCCAGGGCCATCGGAAGCTTTCGAGGCCAGAGCGGTTCATGGGCGTTTTGCTCCAAGAACCCACTCCAACAACTGCGGGCGCCGCGTGACGATCGCCCACCCTAATTATTAGATTGGCATGGCAGTGCAGCCTGATTCGGTGACAGTAGCAGGGAAGTCCGGCTAGCCTCGATTCCCTCGAAGGTCAGTCGAGCTGGATACGAGGGTATCATGGGAGAGGCGCATCCGTTGGCATGCTAAGGGGTAGCGCGCCGTTAGTCATCATCCTGCCCAATGACGGAGCCCTGGAACGACTTCCCGCTGATCCTCTCAGCCTCCTTTCTACACCATCTCGGCCCAAGCGGCCACGCCTTGAGCGCCTTCGTCATGCGGTTCCAAGTTCCCTTTGAATGGCGCTCGACAAATGCATGCCAAAAGTCAACGGCGACCTCTTAGCCAGTGTGTTTGCATGTCGCATCGGCTAAGGCACGCTGACTTGTCACGGATCTCGCACTATCTCGCCTGACATGGTCGTGTTGTTCTTGCCGAGAACCTGAGACGTAGCCCAGCAATCTCTTCACTTGGCCCTAAAGGGCAAACCCAGTAGTTCGTCGCTCCAACCTCCAGGAGATCGGTTCAAGGCTGGATCGTTCTTGCGGGGCAGATCTCCTAGGTGATATAGGGTATGCCGATTGACACCAGGAAACCGAGACAAGCCTTGCATATGGCGCTACTGATGGCTAAGTTGTAGACTGCCACGGTTGCTGCTGAAGACAATTAATTGCAAGTCATGTCAGCATTAAGCTTGGTTCTAGGCAGACCTACGAGAGCATGCAAATCCAAGTGATCAGCACGGCAGACGAGGGTCCACCGTCCAACGATGCCCTGGCGGTCATACGCGTCAACGGTATGTGCCTCGTGTTTCCGCTAAGCAGGCTATCGCTAGGGCCGTGCATGGATCGCAACCTGATCATGCGTCCGAATAGCCTTCATCGAATGGTTCGAATTCGCACTGTTTAGGGCAGAAACTGGCTGTTTTCGCTTTTGCGGTACTCTCTTACGTCCGCAACGTCTTGCTTGACCTTCACACTATCACTCGCTTGGTGTAGAAGGCTCACAGCAACATGCGGAGATTTATCAGTCTTGTCGGGCCTGCACTGGTTGCGGCTGGCTCAGACGCCAATGGGTACAACAGGAGAGGTACGTCATTTTCCCCATCGAGATCATCTAGCTAACATACCCCAGAGGGTATGTAGCGAGATTCGAATTGAAGGCATCGTACTAAATGTTTGTTTCTAGGCAAGGAGTTTGTAGTCACGACACTTTCGACCAACACTCAATCACATGATTCGACTGCGCCGCAAGCTTCATCTCTTTCCCCCGTCACCAGTCTAGATTGGGTTCATGAGGTGCACCCCTGGGACACACCTACACCATTTTCCCTTGTTCCTCCAGAGATACCTACCTCTCCTCTGGCTCCGGGTTCTACGAATAGCAGTAGTACCTTGGTTTCACCAATGACACCGGCAGTCGTCACATCTATTGCCTATGGACAATCGCCGCCATTCCCGAACATCACGTCAGTCGATAGCAACTCTCCGATACCTACTGGTGTGTGCACCGGATGTATCATTGCAGCGTATGGTCCCATTACCACGTCTTACAACCCTGGGGAGTTTTACAACCCATGGACTAGTATAGTGGTGACCGAGACAATTGTTACGGAGTATTCTACCTACTTGCACAACAACACTGTCGATACTGTGGTCACCGAGGAGCGGACTGTCAACCAGACTAAGACCCTTACCCTGGACGAGGGACAGATAATCACGCGCTCGACACCAACGTTCACGATACAGCCAACGCCAGGTGTATTCTTTCACCTTGATGCAGGTCCAACTTACGTCATCTACAACCGGCTCTCTGGTGGATTAGATAAATATCAAGAGATATTCCTGCCTCAGTATAACATGACAGCAGCAGAATGCTCGTCAAACGTCGCACCTTTGACGAGTTGGGCCCCTGCAAGAACGGCATCCGCAGACTGGAGTTACTTCATCGCAACCCACACTGGAAAACTTCCTCCAAGCCCAGGAAGGGATGAGCCCGTGCCTTTACCCTCCAAACTAATTCAGTATCTGAAAAACGACACAGATATCCAGAGACAATTTCACGGCGCGGACATCGCTACGTGTAGTTACAGTAGACCGCCTCAATCGAATTTACGTCCATTGCCCTCGGGAATCGCTGCACCGGCTGCACCACCTCTATCATCGCTTCCTATCTTCCTGTCGCCCTTGACAGGCACGTATCTCGCGACCAGTTTTGAGTCCACCTCAGTTCACGTCACGGTCCGGGGATGTTTAAGATGTGAAGATACCTCGATAAAGGATGCTGTGGACCCTACGGTGTCAGCCAAAATGGCAGAACCTACTCCCACAAACCACAGCGACGACGACAGGCATGATGACAACTCTCCATCACCTAACCAGCCCGATGGACCAGCCGATAATACTGCCAAGCCGACCCAGGGTGGTGGGAAGACTTCACCGAGCATTCCGGACGCGACCGCGACTAAGGACGTAACGATTGGAGGAGTGGTCCTCCCCATCAATACTCCCAAACCGACTCAGGCAAGGCCCGATAGCCCGAACGACGATGATCACGATCAGATTCCTCCAGCGATCATCATTGGCACCGTAACAATCACACGAGGGGAAACGAAGACCATCAACGGCGTGCCCGTGGTCGTACCTACAAATGGCGGAGGAACACAGATCGTTGTAGATGGTAGCACGGTTGCTCTCAATCCGGTTCCGACGCAAGCTCCCAATCCGGCCCCGACGCAAGGTTTGCCTGTGCTCATTGTTGGTGGGGGGATCGTCACGCCAGATTCAAATGGAAATTACGTTCTGGGATCCGAGACGTTGAAGCCGGGAGGCCCTCCGATCACTATTAACGGGAACACCGTCAGCATGGCACCGGACGGCTTGGCTATCATCAATGGTGCCACACAGACTATCGCAAACCTTCCGGCGCTTACCGGAGCCCCCGCTTTGACGGTCGGCAGTCAAGCCGTCTCAGCAACCGTAGTGGGAGGCTCAACAGTCTTTGTTGTAGCGCCTGGTCAGACGCTTAGTGCAGGAAGCACACTTGTCGTCGATGGCACGACTTACAGCATGCCGGCAGAGGGTCATGGGTCAACCCTTGTCGTCAACGGCCAGACTTCGATGTTGAATGCTGGACAATCAGCAATTACTCTCGACGGCGGGAGATCGGTTACTGCGCAAGTCGTCAGCGGCACGACAGCCTATATTCTCGCTCCTGACCAAACCCTGACACTTGGTGGCGTTCTCACGATCTCTGGGACCACATACTCCATGCCCACGAGTGCATCCGGTTCTGTCATCGTCGTCAACGGCGTCACATCCACTTTGGCTGCCGGTGCAGAGATCACCGCCGCACCAGCCTTGACAATCAATGGCGTGACGTATGCGCACACTGTCCGAGACGGAACAACTGAGTACGTTCTGAACGACGGAACAACCCTCGTACCTGGATCATCTATAGAAATCGACGGAACTATGTACTCTCTAGATGATCAAGGCACGGCCTTGGTCATCAACGGGCAAACCAGCACCATTCCGAAACTTCCAAAGAGCAACAGCGCGAGTACAACACGTTCAGACTCCGCTTCTACAACGAGAGGTCGCGACGCTGGAGATTTGATAGCGAGCGGAATAGGCGAGACAAGCAAGGGAGTCGGACCATCTACACACACCGGCGGTTTGGATAAGTGGATTGAGAGTCTGGTTATTGGCGCGGCGGGATGGCTCACGCTGTTACTGTGAGGAGCTCGGCCACTGAAGGACTTGGAAAAAATTGGGTGGTAACGATTTGATGCATTATCATATAGCGCGGCGCTTGGTACTTTGGATGGGACACAGGTATACATAACGACTCGGGCATACATTGGGAGGACTGTGCTCGGCATTTGGGTGGAGCTGGGACCTTTTTGGTAGATATTGGTATAATGCGTAAGTCCAAGACCTCTTCAAGTCCAAGAAGGATCTCCAAGATGGCGTACTAGTACACAAGATCCGTTTGTGATACTAGACGATAGTACGCATGCAAGTCTTGTCAACTCAGCCGTGACTGCCTCAAACCAACTTCCCACCCTTCTTGAATAACTCCCATGCCTCGACTAACCCTTGCTTAGTCTCGTCCTGCTTCGCACGCTGCTCATCACCAGTATCACCAACAGCAGCCACACTGTCGTCGTATGCCTCGCCCGAGAACAGAACGCGTAAGTTCATCCAGACCGGAACAATCTTCGTATCCGCACCCTTAACCTTCATCTTCTTGAACAGCTCTTTCGCCATCTCTCCCCGCAGGCGCTGGACATAGTCCGCCCACTTCTCTTCAGCACCATTCCTAGTCCACGTCTTCCCGAAGCCTTTGCTAGTCGAGTCCATTTCCAGAACAAGAGTGAGGGAAACAAGACCGCGGTAGTAGTTCTTCATGACGTTGTATCCACCGCTCATCAACCAGTGCAGATCGTAGAAAGAACGGATCTTGATGTTGAGCTTAGTGACAAGACGCTGACACCCGACAGGAAACAGTCTCACACTGTAGTCGGGTGGTGGGCAGAGTTCGTTCGTTGGTCTAACGATCTCGAACATGTTCTTGCCGTACAGTACGGCTTTGGCCTCGGCGAAGATCTCCTTGTTTGCGCAGAGAATGTTGACGTTGGTGCGGCCGACGAGCGAGAAGCGGGTTTTGTGGCCGTCGACGTGGAGGTGGACGAGCGCGTATGCGATACCTGGGAGGAACTCGCGGCGCTCGGCGTGGAGGAACGCTTTTTTCTCGTCGTGGAATACGGTGTGCTTTTGGCGGACGCAGATCAGGCCGGGGACGACTAGGAGGTGCGAGTAGATGATGTTGCGAACGGAGATGGGGAGGTTCATGAATGGGAACGGTTCATTGTTCGAAACGGGGCTGTCAATGGCGAGAGCAAGGGAGGCGAACGGGTCGTGTTTCTCTAGAGCTGTGGGTTTGGCAGTGTACGAGTCTGCTGGAACTGGAGACGGGAGGTCGAAGTTGCTTGCGGTTGAGGTACTGCCCTCGTCATCGCTCTTCTCGCGGATCTCGGTGTCGAACGTCTCCTCTGGCTCGTTGAAGAAAACGTCGGGTGACTCTCCCTCGTTGAAGTTGATTGCGCGTCCTGTTTTGTTGGAACTGGTGTCAAGATACTCGACGTTGCTGAAACGAACGCGTTTAGCCATACCGCCGGTTGAAGGCGGTGTCATGAGGTACGATAGCGGAGGCGTCTGTGGTCGCTCGACTGACGGCTCCATATTGTATGCGGATCGCGATAGGTATGAGTATATGATGATTGATAGAGCAATCAGGCAGGCGAGCTGTTGATAGAGGGACCGAGGGAGGATATGTGAAGAAGGTGAGAGAGAGCTATAGCAGGCGCCAGGCGGGGCGTCTCCACAGCAAAGCTACGATGAGGTGAAGGTGAACAGTGATGGACGGCCGCCGCTCTTTTCGTGGGAGCGACTAACATGTCCGTACAGGTACACATGGTAAGCAGTGGGCGAACAGAAAGATATGAGGGGTTATGGATTGTTTTCGTGAGATTACAGGCTTTGTGGTGATGAGTCGGATTGATCGCTAGACTGCACGACCACGATAGCGAGCAGTGGAGGGGTAGGGATGACTAGAAAGAGAGCCTCGCGCGCTGCGCATCCATTTGGCTTCGAAAGCCCGCATCGCAACATACCGCCATACAGTCGCTATCACATAAATCACAGTACGGATCTAGGTGCTTGCGGCTCTTCCAAGCTCCAAAATGTTGCTTGAAGGTGGAATGATATTAACGTTGACTTCCACACACCGATCCTCGGAGTTGTGCAGTGTAACTCAGCGACAGAAGCAGCAAGCAGATATTCTGATAGGGAGGAGAGAGTAAAAGTAGATACCAAAGAGCCGATGAAGATGTTGATGGAGTTGCGCAGTGGTTGGGGGACATTCCAGGTCCCGCGACCCAATCGGTGCTAGTCGCAGCCAGTGCCGAGCCGGGCTCAGAAACCTCATCGCAGCATCCTCAACTGCACCCGCGCTCCTTAGCTGCCCCATCCCGCAATCCATCTCCCCTCTACCACCATGTCTGCCGCTCGTGCCTTCAGCACCGCTTTCCGGGCGGGTGCGCCCCGCGCCCCAATGGCCGCCCGCTACGCTGCCACCCGAAGCTACGCTGCCGCCGCCGCCCCGACTGGCTCTGCCAACAAGCCCCCGGTTGCCCTCTTTGGCGTCGACGGAACCTACGCGAGCGCTCTGGTACGATTTCCACGACTCCAATTGGCACTCTGGCGATGATGGGAGGATGGAAAACGGGCCAATGGCTGGGGAACAAGAGCTTGGCTAACAATTGTGGCAGTACACCGCGGCCTCCAAGACCAACGCCCTCGACCCCACCGCGAAGTCTCTCCAGGCTCTCCAGGGCGTTTTCCAGAAGGACGCCAGGCTTACCCAGATCCTCCACGCCCCCTCGCTCTCCGTCTCGGACAAGCAGCAGATTGTCCAGGAGCTCCAGAAGCACATTGGCGGCGCCGACAAGGACGGCATTGTCAAGAACTTCCTCAGCACGCTCGCTGAGAACAACCGATTGGGCGTACTACAGGGTGTCGTAGAGAAGTTCGGTGTGCTCATGGGTGCGCACCGTGGTGAGGTCGAGCTGACCGTCACCAGCGCTGCGGTACGTTGATTCCGAGATGGGATGGAAGGACAAACCCCAAGAATAGAGGAGGATTTGCAGGGACCCAAGAACTGACAGATTGCAGCCCCTCGACAACAAGACCATCAGCCGCCTCGAGAACGCCATCAAGAACTCGCAATACGTCGCCAACGGCCAGACCCTCAAGGTCGTCCCCAAGGTTAACCCCGAGATCCGCGGTGGACTCATCGTCGAGATCGCCGACCGCACCATCGACAAGTCCGTCGCCGCAAAGATGGCCAAGATGAACAAGCTCCTCAAGGATACTTTGTAAATATAGAGCGAGAGCGCATGGCGATGGATGTGAGGGGTAGGCATGTGTATTCTAGATGAGTCTTGGAAAAGAGCAATTTACTACCGTCTACCACCTGGCGACGCGCCATGACCGACCGATGACTTGAGTTTGGATTTCACAAGGAATACGCTGGGGCAGCTGATGTTTTACAGAAGACAGTCAATTATCGCGCTCGTGGCCCTCTAACATGTGTAGGGATGAGCGTGCTCTACCAGCTCACCGGATACCGTCTCAACACTCCTAGAACCGACGAATGCCAGCTACCAACCGCGCTACAATACGCTATCACATTGGCACAGCCCCTACGTCAACCTAGAGAAAAGGTGAACACCCTGGGGTCTACGTCGATGTTAACACACCCACTTTGCGTGTACTCATCTTAATGTACTCTGCAGACCCGTCCAGTTTTTCCGTTGCATGAGGTGGCCCCTACCTACCACGCGAATCCCCAAGACGTCCACCGACGTATTGTTCTGTTCATACTTTGTTTTCCGGGTTGAAGTAACCAACTTTCTTCTAGTCGTCGAAGAGTCCTGGAAAACGCACGCGTATGCTCGGTAGCACGCAAGGCTCATCTCCATTGGCCGCAGTCCACGCAGCAGCCTCGTATGGCTTCGCAACCAGCCATTCGCGCTTCTCATACAAAGCTTTGGCCCTCAAAGTTTTGGCCAGGAAGGCATAATACTTTTCTAATAGCTCGTGGAGGTGTTTTAAGGTATGTACCTCTTCGCTGGTTTCCTTTCCGGGACCTTCGTAAATGGGTTCGATCTGCGGGGAAGTTAGTATGCTCCAAAAGCTGTTGCAATGTCAAATACTCTTTTTGAAGGGGTTGGATGACATGCGAAGGTTATCGCATACTTACAATCATCAGAGGGAATTTCATAAGGGAAATAGGTGTCGCTTCGATCTCGCGAATGTAGAGGGTTCGTTGGTAAGGAAACCCCTCAAGTGTGGACGCTGACGTTGCAGTCGTATTTGGCGACATTGTAGTGTGCTTGGTTGATCGTGAATGCGTGCGGTGAATGGTATAGTTCTGGGGATGAAGAGAAAGTACGCAGGGCTCTTCATGGCTCATATACGATGTTCGCAGTGAATATTTGTCTCGATTTTGGCCATACATGGTTGGGGATATCTGAACTATGGTTCATCACCACAGCGCGGTGTAGCCACTTGGGAAGACAGCAGTGAGGCACTTCCAACCAAGGTCGTGGGTAGGTACACCATTCAGTTTTCAATGAAAAGATCTAATTTGATTGGGTATAATATCGCATTGCTCAAAAACAACGAATGGCAAGAAAAATATATCAAACTGCACCCAAAAACAGCAGCCTCCTCCTCAGCCTGGACACAGCCTTCTTCACCCGACTCTTCCTCCTCCACCTCCTCGCCCCGAGTTTCACTGTAAAAGACCGCCCGTCGCCTCCATATACTTCTTCAATCCCGTCCCTTTTCAGCCATTTGGCGTAGTCTGGAGAGTCTGAAGCATCTGAAGCACCTGAGGAGTCTGGGGACTCTGGATGTTCGATCGCAAGACCGCCTGTGCATACTAGTTCTCCGTCGACGAAATGGGAGGATAAGGGTGTGGGGTAGTCGTCTGTCAAGGGATTTGATGGGGATTTGTCGTTGGTGGTGGATAGGTCTACTACGCTGTCGTTTCTTTGTGGCGATGAAGACATTGTAGTGGGTGCTTCGGGCGCAGCATCCCCGTAGCATGTCTTGAGCAGGGTATCCAGCTCGCTGTGGGAGGAGATAAGAGTTCTGCTGCTGGTATCGTTGGTTGCCTGTTTGTGCTTGTCAGATAATCCTTCTTTCATGTTGCGAAATCTCGGGGTACAAGGGAGTATATTTACAATGAGAATGGGGAAGCGCAGACGAGTGTTGTCGAAACCTGGTGCTAAGGTTGCGATATGCCAGGTCTTTGGGTTGTGCGATCGTTGCGCGGGTATATCCATAGTTGTGGATTTGAAGGTATACTGCTTGGAAGGCATAATTTGTTCGTTGTAGAATGTTTCAAGGGTAGAGAGTTAAGTTGGTATGCAAGATAGGCACCAAAAAGAATATTTGAGAAATAGAAATAAACGCATGCCACATATTTACTATACGTGTCTCTAACATGACTCCCTACTGTCGTATTGCTAACTGTAGTTCACTCATAGGCTCACGTGTAGGCAGACGAATGGAGGGACCATGGTTTTGGAGAGGAAAAGTGGATCAGCTCGTGACGTGTATCACGAAGTCGCTAAGGAGTGGGAAATCAGGCGAACGGCGTCATGGGATTGCGCATGGGATCGCCGTAGTCAGGATGGCGGAAATATGGAAATAGCGATGAAACACTTTGGATGGAATAATTTGGATTCGAATGTGCGTGTGAAGACTGATGCCTGACGACCCTCAAATGCCCGACCGACCGAATTAAGCTTGCCAAACATACTCCATGCCAACGCAAGGCTCGACGCCCGCCTTCTCGTCGACATCCATGACGGAGTCGTCATCTTCGTCATCTTCATCGCAGACAGTCCTCCTGGCAAAGCTGTCTGCATCTTCCATGATGATTTCCAAACCCACCGTCTCATCCTTATCCCCGTGATCGATACGCGAACAGTCCTCACTCCCCTCACACCCGCACATATCATCCCACTCCTTCTCCCACGGCCCCAACCCGTCAAAAATACTAACAGGGTTAACCAGCAACTTCTCCCGGGCTTCTTTGCCCGACCTGCCCCTCACTTCGAGGCGCAAGTTCGCTACATCAACCGAGCTGTTGACGATTGGGTTGACCTCGACACCCTCATCCATGACCGTGGTTCCGATCTAGTGAGTAGGCGTTAGAAACGTTCAACCATAGTTTGGCAATTAGGAGGGCAACTTGCGATTTGGGCGGGATAGGAAGCGATGAAGTCTTTATCGGGTTGCCATCCTACTAGTATGCCGGTGATGTGGTATTGCGGTAGGACCTTTTCTTGTTGCCTTAGCTTGCGGTCGTCGGAGTCGTCGTCAGAGTCGCAAAGCGTGTCGGAGTCCGTATCGCACTCCGTGTCGGACGTAGCGCAAGAGAGGGTTGAGAAGACTCCCTGGGTCTCGGCCGGTTTTGTCGTAAACTGCATGGACACGGTGTAGTAGGTTAGGACTGTTGCGTGATTTATAGAAACTCGCGGTAAGGATGTGTAGGCTTTTAAGAGGAAAAGTTCGAGATGAATGCATATTATAGATAGCTGGAGTTACCGTGGTTCCGTTTCTGATACTATGTCATTATTGCTCACGTATCGTAACGCGCCAACGGGATGGAGAATGTTTCTAAGAGTGGGGCACGAAAGATGGAGTCGTAGGATGCAAAGTCGATGTAGTTGGATCTCACTGCAGCTTGCAGTAATTTCTGCCATGGTTTACTTGCCAACGACACAGACTCACCTCAACAGCCATGCCTAAGAAACCAGCGATACAGATACCTCCAGAATCACTCACACTAGTCGCGCCCAGGCTGAATTCCCTATCCTCTTTCGGCACGTTATCCGTAATCTCGGCAAAGGTGCTGACATAGACCAGCCCACCTAATAGACCTTCCCAGAAAATGATTACGCAAACGATGTAATAGCTCGGGATGAAATTGAACATGGCGTGCAGCGCGAGGACAATGAGATTGGCGACTTGAAGGAATGACGGGACGTAGAGGTGGTGTATGCGTATGAAGGGTGTGGAGGATCGCGAGATGAAGACACCGACCTGGTAGATGGCGCCATAGGTGCTATAGAAGGAGCGGTATTCGTCGAAAGGAGAGGATTCGAGAGGGAAGAGCAGAGTAGGCGCGACGCCCTGGTTGATAGTGTACTCGGCGATGTAGACAAGAAGGAGGGGCAGCATACTGTGATGGATTAGTCTGGAGCGGATGACGTTTAAGGATTGGGCTTACTATGGGAAGAACAGGCCTCGCGCGCGGTTGAGGTTTGCGCGAAAGCTACTCAGTGCACTGTTAGCACCAGTGTTAGTGACAGAGGGGAAACTGCGCCCTGAAGCCGAGTGCAGGGAGGAAGACAACAAGTCGTCTTGTTCCTGCGCCGGGCCCCCTTCCTCTTCCTCATCGTCCCCATGGTCATCGATGGCTTCATAGTCGCCTTGTTTCTGAATGCCAGCGCGCAGTGGGCCGAGTGGAAGGATAATGAAGAAGCTCAGCACCATGATTTGCGGCAAGAAGGAAAAGACGAGTAGACTTGTACGAGGGGTGATGCCGAGCGTGTTGGTCGCAATGGCGTAGGCTCCAGCACCGATCAAGCCGGCGCCTCCCGTGCCCGAGCCCCAGGAAGCCAGAGCAAAGTGGCCGTAGTAATGTGTCAGGCCAAGGAAGCTCAGTTCGCCAGCTCCACTGCTCAGACTGGCAAGCATCACTCCACACATCTTGATGGCGATGGTCCCCGAGTCCTGCAGTGGAGGCGTGAGGGCGATGATGAGCATGCCGCATACGGAGAGAGCGACGAATATGAAGATGCGCACATTGTAGGGGATCTTGTGGATGAAGTACGGGGCGCACAGTTTGGCGAGGAACGAGGGAATGACGTCGGCGAGGAGCACGACGCCTTTGGGGACATTTGGGCCGACGAGGTCGAGGGCGGCGGAGAGGATGATTACGTAGAGCACGTTGTTAATGAGGCCTGGGCGTGTTAGTCGCGGTGGAGCGGACAGTGTCGGTGCCCCTCTTTGGGGGTTCAGGTGCATGCATACCGAACAACCAGAAGGCGGCGCACACGCGTGGGTCGGCGCCATGGAAGACAGCCTTGAGGCGCGCACGGTAGACGGCCCAGGAAGACGCGGGAGAGCCAGGCATGGGGAGGAGCGGCATAGGATGTAGAGGCTGGTGTTGCTTCACATATCGCAGGTTGGAGAGTGAAAGCTACGGGCACGTGTCACGCGCCTCAGATGACGAGGGGCAGCTGCTGGCCGTGCCGGTGTTGATGGCTGGGCTGGACTCGGACATGGATGGGTGCACCTGCCGATCGGGCTTGGCGCGAGGCGGTCAACTGGAAGGAACGATTCAGGAACGGGCTGCATGGGAACGGGCGTCGCATGTTCCGACGAGCATGGGTGTTTCTTTTTGTGCGCAGAGCGGGCAGTCTGGGCGGGGCTACGATGAACTATGGCCAGGGGCCCTCTGATATACGCATCATCATGCGTCTGAGGGCTTTGGGTCGAGCAAACGTCCTTTGGCCGTGTGGCCGTGGTGTAGGCGCTTTGTGGGAAGCAGCCCTATCACGTCGCCAGTGCCTGCCCTCTAGTCGGGCTCTCGCTTTCGTCGCTGCATGCGGGGCTGCGCTAGAGTCCTACAGGGATCGTGGCGCTTGGTCCCATTGCGCCTTCTCGTTTCCTCGCATGCTCGAGGCTCTTTTCTTCTGCAATACTGCTGCTCGCTCTGAGCCGCACCCCTCCACACGACGACGACCATTGTACTCTCCATAATACGCTAGCGAGCGGGAGCGTGTACTGCTATCCCGTACTTGCGACACTTTCATCTTCACCACCTCTCCGATGAGCCCAAGCCGACTATGGACCGCCCGCCGCCCTACCAACGACCACCAGATCGCCCTATGAACTACCACCCGCAGACGACGCAAGCCTACCCAGGCCACCCGCCAGCCTCACAACCACAACCGCAACAGCCACTCCACGCTCCGTATGCCGTCGACCCGTACTCGATGCCCCGGCGCGACCCATTCTTTCCTTCGGGACCGCAACACGTTCGACGCAGTAGTCAAGGACTACCCGCTGGTAATAATGCGCCGCAAGGCCAGAATGAAGGACAAGGGCAGGGTGGCTGGTCAAATACAGGTACGGGCTACCATTTCCACAAATGTCTTGGAAAACACATCTGCGCAGGAGGCACTGGGGACGGAGAGTCTGTGTAGCCTGGACATGCATGTGTACAATTTTTGTAGCTCTCACCAGTTCACAAAAGGTGCCCAGTCATCCAGGCTGCATTTTGACCTGTATGTCTCAAGTCTGTGGCACCGCTCGCATGGCTGTCTGGCTCGAGGAACAGGCAAGAGACGGTAGTGGGAAGGCATTGCCTGCATGGATTGCTGCATGACACGTCAATTGCGAAAAAGCACTTCACCGCCTGTCGCCGTCATATCGACGCAGGCAAATGCAGGCAGTCTTTCCCTACTAGTGTCGCCATGCCATCCCGAGCCACACCAACATGTGCGTTGCTCAACGGTGCGCGCCATTTGTCGGTGGAGATGGCATGGGTCTGGCGAATTCTATGGCGCACTCCGCAGATGTGGCTCCTAGCTAATGCACGATCCGCGGACCTCTAAACCTCTTTCGAAAAGTCGCGACTCGCCGTCCGAGCTTGTGCTGATCCATGTCTTTAGCGCGACCGATACACTACGAGACTCATCACTCCCAGTCGCACCCTCCACCGCAAATGTCCACTTCCAACAACCCTCCAGCCCCGGCGCCCTATAGCTTCGATGCTGCGCGCGCCTCGTCGCTGAACGCTGCCAGCTCCCCGAACCCCTATGGTACAGCCCCGCTCCCAAAAGCAATGGTCAAGCTTTGTCCCAAACTAACTCTCCCCCAGGCCCGTCTCACGAACCTCCACCTCCACCATCCTTCGCGCGGCCCCAAATGCCTCCTCCATCGTCCCCCACACAGCAGCATCTCCATGCATCCCAGTCGCAGCGTCCACAATACACCTCCAACTTTGGCGCCAACAGAGAGCTTCCTGGCCTAGGTCAGGCGTTGCGACCGGGAAGCAGCATGTCCATCTCATCTCTTATCGGCGGCGGCGGTGACACAGGTGCGCTCAACCAAACAGCGCAATCACAGCCCTCGCCTCCCACCAACGCCCCAGTACCCAACGGCCACAGCATGCAGCCACCTTCGCCTCGACGTGGCCTGCCCGCTAGTTCACGGTCGGATTTCCCTCTGTTTCGCCGTCAACCCACCCCAGAACGCAACATGTACGCCAGCAATACCTCGCGGCCATCTGAAGGTCATGCCTTCTCGGCCGGCTCACCCAGACAGTCCTACAGCAACCATGGCTCGCCTGATCCGGGCCGCCAGTCGCTGCCACCAACGACGCAATCCTACAAGCCCATGAACTTCGCCGGCCACCGCCCCTACGCGCAAGATACAGGTCGACAGCCTGCCGCGAATGTCCCACCCCGACCGAATAGCCAACCGATGGGCCCTCTGGCAAACACCGAACAAGAGGGCAGATCTTCGTACGACGGGTTTCCAGGCCGGCGCAGCGTCTACGGGCCAAACGAGGAGCGGCGGCGCACACTGGGGGAGTCGCACCACGCAAGGCCCAATGCTGCAGAACTCTTAGCAGGCACCAACCACAATGCTTCTGAGAGGGATCGGCCCGTGACTGTTCACCCTGTGTCGCAGTCTGGCTTCAGTCCACCGCAGGCGCAGCGCAACATCTCTGGCTCATCCGAACCTCCACGCAGTCTGTGGCGCCAATCAGCGCCCACCGGTGCTGTCCATGAACCACCTCATGACAGTCGCGCAGAGGAACCTCCGCCGATGCATCGCACCTATGGCCCGTACCCCCCATCCATGCTGGGCGCTCCCCGATATGGCGCCCAAAGTTCAGAGGATATGTTGCGACGCAGTGTAGACCAGTTGGGCCATCGCGTAGTCGAGCAGTACCACGCTCCTCCTACCTCCGACCCCAACTCCCTAGAGCGACAGAGGACCGAGCCACTCGCACGCTCTCTATCCTCCAGCGGAAGATCGCTCTATGATCAGCCTTCCAGGATGGGTGAGGCCATGCAACACTCGAAATCGCACATTGGCTTTGGTTTGGAGGCGAGCAGACGAACGGGCAGAGCGTCTCCGCTTCCACAGGCTGTTCAAGGTGCCTCGGCGCAGCCCTTCTCCGTTGGCAAAGATCCTGGAATCAAGAGCGAATTCGGGCGCATGTTCTCCGGTCTCGGCAGCGGGCTGGGATCGACGACCCCATCGCGGGGAAGTCCCATGCCACAGAACGGCCAGGGCTCATTTGAATCGGACAACGGCGAAATGATGAGAAGAATCGGTTCCCAGCAAGGAAGGAAGCCGAAGCGAGTCAAGGATGAGGAGGGAATCTTCGACATCGAGACTACTGATGGTAGAGGAACACCCGGTGCGCGTGGGACCAAACGGAACAAGCACCATCATCATCAGTGAGTTCCCTCATTGCCATACAAGATGCGTACTAACAGCATAGTCACCACCATCACCATCACCACCAACACAAGCCTGACGAAGACACGTCGATCCAGCCAACCTCAACTACCATTAACGGGCGACACCCCAGTCTACCACAAGCTGGCCCAGGCCATTCAGTTCATCACCACCATCACATTGCAGGAAACCCTCATCACCACCATCACCACCACCACGCCCCTCGACCTAACCACGAGCCGTTGCAGCAAGTAACAAAGATCCTGACCAAGGTCCATGACGTACAGCCTGTTCTTGACGACGCTGCGAAACGCCCTCGCAAACATCTTGGATCACAGCTGTACGATGCAAAGACAGAACTGCCCAAGCCCAACTCATCGTTAGATGACCAGTTCGGATACGCCTCGAAACCTCAACGGCTGCCTCGTTTCGACGTCAATCCCATCAATTGCACTTTTACTATCAGAGTGCCGCGTTACTACCTGAAGCCACGACAACGCCAGCACGTCGTGTTAGAGAGGCATCTTTGGGGTGCGCGCGTGTATCGCGACGATTCAGATCCTATTGCTGCTGCGATCCACTCTGGATGGATCCGTGGTGAATGGGATGATACTGTCGACGTCACCATGCTCGACCCACGCATCACTGCGCCCAACGACCCAGCCGATGCTGCTGACGTTCTAACGAAGGTGCCAGCGGCCCCTGTGACACCACCCGCCGATATGGACTTGCAGATTGAGATACTCATCTTGCCACAACTTCAGGAGTACACTGGTTCCGTCGAATATGGCATCTCAAGCAGGAAGAGCAAGGCTCATGAGGGTCTCAGCTTCATGATCAATAAGATTCGATGGGTTGAGGAAGGCATCGGCAGCCGAGGACAAGAACGAACAGCAGCGGCATTGAAGCGACGATTGGATGCCAGCGCGACTCTGCTTGCTTTGCAAAGGGGAATCGACAACACGCACAGGGTCAATGGCATGACCAAACTACATGCTTGAGATTTAGTTGGATGGATCAAGGTCCATGACATATAACGGCCGTCTGGATAGTGATTTAGCATGGCATTTGTAGCGCAGGATGATTTTAGCATTGCTAGATACCCGCATCTTTTATAGCTTGACTCTGGCGTAGGATTGCACATAGCGTCGGCGAATTCTGGGAAACGATGTAATGAGGTGTTGCACACGACATGAAAAAAACTTTTACTTTTGGCATTATCTATCTGTGTTGATGAGTGCTTTTCCAACGGTACGCCTATGGCTGCAATGCGTTGTTATCAGGTCAGCCACACGTGGGGAGAGTGGTAACCAATCCCGCGGCGATCACACACCGCAGTACCAGAGCGATAGCGGCCTGGACGTACCCCGGGCTTGCGTGTACGCACCTTAAGCAAGAGCAGTCTGTCCCATTTGCGTGGTGTGCATTTGATCCTTCAACCTTCAACGCCCAGGCGACAGATCGCGAGGTACACGAAACTCTGGCAGCCCACTGCCCCGCCACGACGAAAGCTTACGTGACGCCCCTCATCACAGCGCGTACAATAACTGATGTCAACGATGCATCACCGGACTTACTCCATATCGACTGTAAGTAGTCTTTTTTCCTTGCTAGGATCTCCAGGATGCACCATTGTTTTTTTTGCCGATTTACGACGACTGGCGCGCGACTACGACAATGTAAAGAAATTTCGCTCCCATCCATCACGTCTTTCCGGCAATCGGCGGCTTTAGGCAGGCATGTTTCTGGACCCCCTAGCTATGCTGCTGGAGCCATTGTCGTCATACCGCAGAAGCAGGCGGCATCATGGCACACGACCCGGAGAGCTCGTAGCAGCATGGCAACGGCTGAGAGTCTTGGAGCTGTCCTGCCGGTGCTCATTGCTGTAGGCAAGCACCAAGGAATGCGCATGGGCAGGCGCCAACGACGACCGTTGTTTGCGCTGTCACGACTGGCGGACATGTGGACACATTGGACTGCAGCCACACGTGCTACCGAATGAGAATCACCCGTCACATCTGCTCCACCGCGCCCGCTAGCCTGGAGCCGCAATCCGAACGCTTATTGCTCTGGCTTGTGAAAAGAAGGACGCCGTACCGAATGCGGGGGAATCATCGTCAATCAATCCATCTCCTCTCGCTTCTTGACTGCCGGGCCGACCTTACGACCCTGCAACACGACACTCGACGTCCATACACATATTGCTTCACCTAACAGACGACTTCAGCCGTGCGACTCCACAGCCTTCTGTTGACCGCCTAGCATCTCCCCTTGCTGCATCGTTGATTAAAAGCCGCATTCTCGCTGCATCTCGGAATACCTTCGGCTAGATTTCCGATCCATATAACTTTTACTTCGCTTCGCCAGTCGCATCGTCACTGGACTTCAGGGAGCTGTACTTGCCGCATACAATGACCGACTCCAATGCCGACTCCAATGGATTCTATGCGCCCAATATGCGCGCAGTGCCTGCTGGCGACTTCGTAAGACCAAGCAGAAAGACTAACGGTGCTGGTGTACAGGCCGAAGACACGCGGATATGCGTCGTCATGGTAGGCTTGCCCGCGCGGGGCAAGAGTTTGATCGCACAGAAAGGTACGTTTCTCCTGTACGGTCTCGTATAGACACTAACGAGTTGCAACGCAGTGGTTCGCTACCTCCATTGGTTATCGATCAAATCCAAAACGTTCAACGTTGGCCAGTATCGTCGTACTGCGACCCCAAACCCCTCCGCCGAGTTCTTCGATACCTCCAACCCAGAAGGAGAGCGTCTCCGGAAAGCAGCCGCCGAAGCAGCTGTTAACGACATGTGCAAATGGTTTTCTGAGGGCAGGGGCTTGATCGCGATACTAGACGCCACAAACTCGACCAAAAGCCGACGCAGGTGGATACAGGAGCGATGCGCCGCCGAGAACATCGAGACGCTATTCGTTGAGTCAAAATGCGACGACGAAGATCTCATTATGAGCAACATATTGGAAGTCAAGACGACATCTCCAGACTATGTCGGTCAAGACCCCGAAGAAGCTGCAGCGGATTTCCGCAACCGTATCCGGAACTACGAGAAGGTGTACCAGACCATAGACGAGGACGAGCGCGACCTCACATACGTCAAGCTCATCGACGTGGGCAAGCAAGTCATCATCAACCAGATTCAGGACTACCTCCAGAGTAGGGTCGTCTACTACTTGATGAATCTCCACATCAAGCCGCGCTCGATCTGGTTATCGCGAGTAAGTATATGTCGCAAACACGAGCTATGAAAACTAATCGTGGCAGCACGGTGAATCCGAGTACAACCTCACAGGTCAGATTGGAGGAGACGCAAATCTATCAGAGCGAGGAGATGCTTATGCGCATGCGCTACCCGGTCTGGTTGCGAAATCGGTCGGCGACGGTCGCAAACTTACTGTCTGGACCTCAACCTTGAAGCGAACGATCCAAACCGCACGATTCCTCACATTCGAGAAGTTGGAATGGAAAGCGCTCGACGAACTCGACTCGGGCGTCTGCGACGGTCTCACATACGCTCAAATCGAACAGAAGTTCCCCGAAGACTTCAAGCAACGCGACGAGGACAAATACAACTACCGTTACTTGGGTGGAGAGTCATATCGCGACGTTGTCATTCGTTTGGAGCCCATTATCATGGAGCTGGAGCGGAGCGAGAATATCTTGATCGTTACACACCAGGCCATCCTGAGATGTATCTACGCATACTTCATGAACGTACCACAAGAGCAGAGCCCGTGGATGGAGGTCCCGCTACACACGTTGATAAAATTGACGCCCAAGGCGTACTCAACACAGGAAGAGAGACTGAAAGCCGACATACCGGCGGTCAGCACCTGGCGAGGTAAGGGCAGCAAGGCTGAGCATCAGCAGGCAAATGGCGGCACATAGCCTAACTCCTATCCAGCTCCCGGGGAAATCTGCGGCGCGCCTGCTCCCCTGGGAGCGGATGTTGGAAGAATCGTAACGAACTAGGCCAGTGCAAGTCTGGCTCGGCACTATAGACGGGCAAAGAAGGTTACCAGGGATTCGCGCTTCGATCAAGTCGGACTTGATCTCTCGGCGCGTATGTTAAGCATTGGGCATAGATTGGCATTTCAGCGTTTTGGTCACATCACTAGACGGCAATATCCAAGGTCGACGGTCAAGATGGGAAGGAGTCGACGTCTCTAAGCATAGCAGTAGCTACTAGATATCAATGTCAAAAACCATTCGATATCAGAACGGTTCTCTATCTACCAATATGCTCTGGATTTACGAAAAGCTGCGACGCAGCAGCACACAAAGCACTAACAAACAAGCACGTACTACCAGTCTTGGGAAGCATGACGGTAGTGCCTCGTCGCTGCCACCTTCCCATCTCAGCCTCCCCCGCGGACATTGACCATCACCGCAACCCCACCCAAACCCCAAGCTCCGACCGCATCGCACATACGCACGCATCCTAACAGCACACACCCGTTCTGTAAACACCTTGAATCCCGTCGCTCTCGCCTAGCCCCAGCAATGCGATCATGACATGGCCACCCCCTAACCCCGGCGGCGTAAACCTCCAGTTCATCGCCGAAGCGCAACAAATCATAAACAGCCACAACCAGCACCACGCGCACCAGCCCTCGTTCACTCACGCTACCGGCGGCCACGCACCCATCACCAACGACGAAATCGAATCAGAAGCCGCCTTCAACGCCCAGTTCACTGGACCCATTAGCACATTAGACTACGATGTACACACTGGTGTTGGTTCCAGTAGCGGCGGGTACGGCGCGCACCGTCTACATGGACAATCACCACAAACAGGAGGAAGTAGTGCTGGTAAGGCGGAGGCTCCCCCCAGTAAATCCACGCTGGAAACACGGAAGAGTATACAGGCACGGGGCAAGAATTGGAATTCTTTCTCTGGCGAAGCGCAGGGGAGGGCGTGGGAGGAGAGGCAGAAGAGGGATGAGGCGGTTAGTATACTGGAGAGTGAGGAGATACTGATGTGGATTGCGGGGGTGAGGAATGAGGTACGTCCCGTGAATGATCACACAAGTTGGAGAGGAGATCGGTTGCTAATTCGTGGTGGATACAGAGTGTACCACAAACGCGCGCGTTTTACCGTAACATCGTCCTCGGTCTCACACAACCGCCTGCAGATTGGAACGACGAGTGGGAGGTACAAAGTACTGGAAATGGAGCCGCAGAGGGGCAGGGTATGGCGGGGAGTGGGAGTCCGGCGAGAAGTGGAAAGGGCAAGGAGAGGGATATTGCGAAGATGAGGAAGAGGGTTAGTTCGGGGCAAGGACCTGCTTGAACGGAAGCTCGCATGTTCATCGTGAGATTCTTTGGCGTTACTTTGGATTTAAGGCGGATCGCGTTATACCCCAGCTTTTTTGTTCAGTTCACATGAGGGAAGTTTGTAATGGCAAGACGTACGACATTACTATTTTGCGTTGCGTAACTATTGCTTCCTTCCGTCTTATTCTCATTTGTATTCCAAGATCATACATGGCCTTCGCCAAACGCCGTGTCTTTCTTAGGTGCAGAAGTCCAAGCCTTTGCCAGCCCAGGCCAGACCGAACCCAGAGAACGATTGATACCTTTTCACCAAAGGTCGCGGGGAATGCCAATGTCAAAGCTCATCTGTTCCCCCAAATTCCAACCTCATCTCTGAACGACATCTGCCAAACCGAAAATCGTACATCTCACATACCCTCCTCCATACCGACATTCCTCCACCAAGGCTTACCATCCTCGCCACTAGCCTTATCAGCAAACATATCTGCCGCATCGCCCACCTGTCTCCTCTCACTAATCTCCCTGCTGACCTGACCCGACAGCTTGAGCTTCATTGCCTTGCTCGCCAGGAAAGGGTTATACTTTCGCGAACCGTTACCTTGCGCCATTCCTCGGGAAGACCGGATGAGTTCGCTTGACGTCCATCCGCCCCTCATGACGGGTAATTGCTATTGCAGAGGTTCTGAGGAGGAGGAGAGGCGGTTGAGGT